TATAACAGTCTTATGTGTCTTGAAGCCTGGGTATGAGATTCACAAATGAAAAAAAACAACACATTTCCCCTCTCTAACTGTCTTTCTCCACCTCTTAGCATCCCCAATATGATGTCATAAGGGGAAATATGCTTTCCAGAGCGGTCTGTGCAGCCCAGCGGTTAAGCGCTGACCTTAAAGGAATAGTACACCCAAAACATGATTAGCCTTCATTTTCTACTCACCCCCATGCTGAACAACACTCTGGAGTACTTTTTTGATATCTCAAATGCATCTGGAGATCTGGGAGGCTTCTTGCTGTCTGCTGACATTCAAATAATGGAGGTCTATGGTGCCTGAGGCAGAAAGTTCCATAAAAGTCCACAAAAAACGTGTCAATATTCCTCCATACTGCTCGTCCAATGTATTCCAAGTGTCCTGAGTTGGTAGCGTCCATAATTTACTCGAAACGAAGTCATTTAGAATGTTTTTAGAGCATAAACAGTAGTGTATAGGATTTCCTAAAAGCGCGTTCACGAGTCTACGGAAACCGCGGCAGACCAAACCAGACGAAAGTGCGCATTCAGCTCGGCAAAGAACTCATGCTCTTCCTCAACACTGAAGTCCTCAGACATTTTTCTTTTGTTGTTTCTTTCTTTGCACAGGTAAACAGCACATTTCTTCTTCTACGCTTGCATTATCGGCAGAGCAGACGCTGAATGCGCACTTTCATCTGGTTTGGTCTGCCGCGGTGTCCGTAGAGTCGTGAACTCGCAGGCGCGCGCTTTTAGGAAATCCTATACACTACTGTTTAGCCTATAAAAACATTCTACATGACTTCGTTTCGAGTAAATTATGGACGCTACCCACTCAGGACACTTGGAATACATTGGACGAGCAGTATGGAGGAATATTGACACGTTTTTTGTGGACTTTTATGGACCTTTCTACCTCGGGCACCATAGACCTCCATTATTTGAATGTCAGCAGACAGCAAGAAGCCTCCCAGATCTCCAGATGCATTTGAGATATCAAAAAAGTACTCCAGAGTGTTGTTCAGCATGGGGGTGAGTAGAAAATGAAGGCTAATCATGTTTTGGGTGTACCATTCCTTTAATGTATTACTCTGTGCTCCTTGGCTATCTTAACAAACTCTGACTGTTTTGTCGTGATTGCAGGATGTGGGGGCGTGGCCATCAAGAGGACAGGGACATGCCCCCACATAAGCTCATAAACCATCAATATAGACAGAGTGTTTAGGTCTGGTTGCTATGTTTGAATATGCACATACTCAGCATCTTGATTTTATAAACATGGGAAAGGTTTCCGAGAAAAATTAGTTCTCTGGCTTGGTTACATCTGATTGGACAAGATCAGTTCTGCTACTCATGTGTGAGTCAGCAAAACAATGGTAAACAGGGCAGTTCATAAAGTGGAGCCAGGTCATGATGACCCATGAGATGTTTATGAAAGAAGCTCATTGGCCGAGTGTGCTCATGTGTTTATGGGGAAAAGTATAAAACAGTGTTTCACTGTGTAATATGTTGAAGATCCTCAGAGATATGTATGTGATTAAGGGTGGCTGTTAATTAAAAGCATCTGCCCATTTGGCACTTAATAGAGGACCGTGGTTGAATACTTTTTTCTTTATGAGGTACTGTCTCTCCCACAGGGAAAGTGAAAAACAGCTTGTCTGGAGGAGGGCTGAATAAGGAGATTTTTGGTAAAGGTTGTCTGCCTAATATGAGAGGCATTCTCCTGCACAAATGGCAAAAACATGCCGTTGGAGCCTCATTGTTAAGATCTTTTTAGTTTCAAATGTGGAAAAATATGGAACCTTTAAAGCACTGGGGAATTTATTAACAAAATACTTCAACTTTACAGAAAGGATACTTGTTAAAAAACTCAATTTAATTAGACTATCACATTTCAAGCAAACGGCAAACACAGAATTTATTTATTTATTTTTTTACCGTATTTTCACGACCATAAGGCGCAAACAATTGAATATAAATGTTTCACTGTCAGACTCCTGCATATGTGTTTAGATATACCTGTCATCATTTAAGGTTCTTTGAGTTATTTATTCATTTAGTATCCTATAGTTAATATGTTCCCAGATCTACTTAATTCCATCATGCTTTCATTCCCTCTCCACAATGTAATTTGCTTTTTCACTCCACCTGTTGCTTTACTCATCAACTCATGGGAGCCACCTGTTTTTGCTGCCAGACATGCTCCTCATTTTTCATTCTTCCCTGCTGGATTATCTTCAGTTAAGTGCTGATCTCAAGTCAGCTCTTTCCTCATGACTATCTGTAAGTTTTGGGCCTATTATTAAATTCTTCAATTCTTGCCTGTCTACATATGATTATTACCTTAACAGCTACGTTATCTGACATTCTCAGAACAATGGTGTGCTACGTGAAAGGAGATGAGGAAATATTACGGACCATATACAGGACTTAGAAGGCAAATGCTGCTTTTCACCTTTGGTAAAAGAAGGTCAAACATGGCGACTTTTTTAATCATTATTCATCTTTTTCTAAGTTTTTCAAAGGAGGTTCCAACTTGTTAAGCCCAAAGTGTTCAAGAAGTAATTTCTGCCTAAAAAAATACAGCAAGAAAATAGAATACCTAACTACACAATAATCAGGTCTAAAAGCAAAACATTTGTTACCAGCATTAAACGTAAGAGATAAAAGACTATATTTTCCAGTGAAACCTGTATCAAAACTGTTATTATTGATTATAGACCAAAATAAGAACCTTTTTTGTAGCCTCACCAAAAGCTTTTGCGAATTACAGAATTAAAGTCCTTTTAAAGACACAGGCGACATTGTAGTAAAATCAATGTTTTACTGCAGAAAAATAAAATCTGAATCAAGCAAAGCATATTTAGAAGCCCATTGTGTCAGGTGGAGCTGTAAGTTTAGCCAAATGTCATAAATTTCTTCCAGTAATGACAGTTTACTCAGGGAAAAAAAGCCAACCTCCGACTTATTCTGCATATAACAGAAGCTTTGGTCATAGCATCTACATTGTATTGTTCAGAGCAGTTCCTATAGCAAACTGTGCACAAAGCACAGAGGTTATAAACCTGACTGCTACTCTTACAATCTTCATTACCTACAGAAATTGCATCTCCTGACAACGTCTGTCTAGACTTGCAATAGTTTTCTTGAAGCTGTCTAATTCTTCCACGAGGGGTGGAGCAAAAACAAAATTGTGTCTTGCATTTTAGAGGAAGCATCCACCATGTTTGATAGAACCCTAGATCAGGCATCCCCAAAGTCTGTCCTTTGAGGGCCGCTGTCCTGCAGTTTTTGGAGGTTTCTCTGCTTTAGCACAGCTGATTCTGATGATTGTAGTCCAGCAAAAGCCTGTTAATAAACTATCAATGTAAATTTGCTGTGTTGGAGCAGGGAAACCTCTAAAACCTGCAGGACAGTGGCCCTCGAGGACAGACTTTGGGGATGCCTGCCCTAGATAACAAATTTGTTTTCAAAGTACCGTGCAACCAAAAGTGTCGATGAAAATACACAATGTTTTTTTATAAACGATGAAGACTTAAACTTCTGTATTCTTGAAGGGATAAAAAGAACAGCTCAGTTGGAAAGATGGAAAACAAGCTCAGCTTCTATGATAGGCACCAGGTCATATGAATCTGTCCAGTTATCTGGGTTATATGGAACGATCCTCAGAATGTTTCAATATAGAGAACCTTCCACACAGAGTGTAGTTTGTCTGGGTAGGATCCCTTGCCTTTCTTTTTTTGGTTGTCCATTTTTTAAGCACTTTGCGTGTCTATTTCTGACAGTACAACATCAAAATGAGCAATCTAACAGGAGATCCCTCTTTTCCATCACCAGTGTTAGCGATGGTTGAATTCCACACTAAATGCTGTGCTTTCTGGGATTCAAAGCTCTATGGGATTCAGAGCTTTATTAGTTTTCTTTGTTCTCTGGCCACACTGTAAAAATAATTAGGGTGGTTAAACTTAAAAACTTGAGTTAAGCAGCTGCCTTAAAAGCACAAGTTAACACAACTTGAAATAATGTTTTTTTCCAACTCAGGATGGCAAACTAGAAAAGTAGCTCAATTGCTGATAATTCATTGATTAAATATGATACCATAAGTTGAAATGACTAACTATAGAACATTATTCATTCTTTATAAATTGAGTACTCTTGTCAAGTAAAATTACAATCATATTCTATTTGAACTCAAATAATTAAGTTATACCACTTGTCTAACTAATGACTACTAGTTGTATGAACTTCATACTCCAAGTTTAAAGGCCTTGCAAAGTTAAGTTATCCATTCAAAAAAACTTGTTTTATTTTGTTGAAGTAGCAAAAAATTATATATACTTTCAACTCTAATTTTAAAGTTAAACTGACTAACTGTATTCATACCAATTCCCTTTTTGAGTTAATTTAACTCAAGAGTTTAAGGCAGCTACTGAACTTCAAATTGCAATTTAAGTAAACTAACATTTCCAAATATTGCTCACTTTCTCCACTAACAATGCCAAGTTTACCAGTTTTCTAAAAATAATTACACCAATACGCTTCCATTTCAGATTATACATTTTTCTTTCTCTATCAAATATGAGACAAGCCTTAAATCAAGTGTAAAAAGAAAACATTTGTTCGAGACAAGCAGAAGTTTTAACATTTATTGAAGGACCAAAGCAGAAATACATTTTTTGACAAATAGAAATATTTTTTATATAAATCTCAATAAATGCACTTAAAAGGCACCAATTATGAACTCTACCTAAAGTTTTATTGTAAAAAATTTGTGAGGTATGGTGCATTTTAAGTGCATTTTATTGCCGAGTTTCAGTCCTCCATATAGACCATTATTTTACAAAACATTTTAACCACGTTGAACAGTAGCAGTCCAAAGTCAATACAACTAGCTACCATCTCTCAAAAACAGTCGAAAAAGTGCAAAATGATCAGTGTTTTAACAAACTCACAAAAATCCTGAGAGGTTTTTCCACATATTCAGCACAATGCTAAATGTTTTAGTGCATAACCATTAGTATTAACATTTAGTGCATAGAACAAACTGAACAAATTCTTACAGGAACTCTTATTTAAGAAAACAAAACTGTAAACATACCAGATGTTACAGTTTGTACCTCAGGAGTTTGTTTCTCAAACCATGTACTCGAGCTGAGGCCTGGTCTGGACTGATCTTCATCACCACTCTCTGAAGAAACTCGAACGAATACTTCATGTCATTTGGATACTTGAGATTGATACAGTAGATGACACCCATAAGCATAGCAAAGCCAACTGTCACATCTTTAATATTGTGAAGCACAATGGTCTCCTCCACCACAACTGCCACGTCGAAGACCTCGTGTGGGATGGCCCCCTGTTCACTACCTTCACAGGCAATCAGAAGACCGACCTGCATCCCCTTCATGGCATCATCCAGAATATCAGCATGAGCCTTAAAAATAGAAAAGAAATAATGACATTTGTGTGTAAGTAAAGAATGTAAATACTCAGTTATTTTTAAACTGCAAGTTTTTATGCTATTGTGAGGTTTAACAATCTGCATGTTTTGACACTTGTGGGGTTGTATGATGCACTTCTGTTCAGTCAGAGAATAACCTGACACACTCCCAGTTTGACAAAGCATAGAGCATAATGGCAATGAAACAGGCCACTGTTGTGGATGAGGCAAACATCCAGAAGAATTAGACATTGAAAATAAGTCCAACCTGAAAAAAAAGCCTGTTTATGTGTACATATTCAACATATTTTCAGCACTTTACTTTGTCATCAGGTAGTCCTCCTTTTTGACAAACTTTTTTCATCCACAGAACTTGTATTTTCATGCACATGAGCACAGTGTATGGCAGATTAAAAACCCCCATTGTGAAGCGCTGAAATTATTCTAAAAATGTAGGACACTAGAAATGTTTCCATTCTAATGTATTTTTTTTAATCATCAAATTCTTAAAATGTCAAAAGAAATGAAAGAAAATGCAAATCAGGCATGTTTCCATCAAGTGGCTTTGAGCAAAATCAATCATGATAGACAAAGTAATTACATCAGAATTTGATGTTATGCATGGCTGTAGTAAACAGGAAGTAATGTCTCTTAAGGACTAAAAATAAGTTTTTGCAAACACAAATGCTACAAAAAGACTTTTAAGAAATGATATCAAGAAAGAGGAATAATTAAATATGTAAACAGTTTTTGTAATAACATTTGTTAGTCTTACATCACACATCCTGATGACAGTTGATGGATCTTCCCCAGATATGTAGCGTGGCAAACCAAGCAGAGCAGCAGCCCTTCTCCTTTCATTTGTGTCCTGTAAGAGATAAGACATGCAGTAAGATGAATATATTTTAACAAAAATAACAAATTATGCCTAGTTTTCTAGCCATCTTCAGTTCTGCTTACATCTTTTGCAAGGCAGTCCAAAATGTCTTTGAGTGGCTGCTTCTTCCCAGATTTGGTTGCTGCTTTGTAGACCTCCAGCAGTCTCAGAACCAGGCCATCAAGTCCGTCAACAAAAGATTTCAGAAGGTCTGTGGTGACGATTCTTGTAAATTCTGCCCTAATCTGAGGTGATAGAATATAAAACTCATCAGGACACAGTTAACTCAGTATTAAATCACTAAATCTCTTGGTGAAACTAATTCAGATGTGCGATTACCTGTCTCTCATGGAACAGAGCAGGCCATCGGGACATGAGCTCTGTGATGTGTGGTTGATCTCCTACAATGTCTTTCCTACGCTGAGAAAATGTAGAAACCATCAAATCCTCAATCAGCTGATGATTTGGGTCTTTCTTCTGTATTTCAGCCTCCATTATCTTGCGCTTCACCTCCATGTTTTCAGGACTCTGTCCTTCAGGTGGATCAGGACAGTAGTTCACCTCCCCCTTCTTTGACTTTTTGACAGTTTCCCCTTTTGAACTTCCAGATTTTCGTTTGTTTATGACCACCTCAGGGCATCCTGCTGAGCTTAATTTATGCCTGTAGTTTCCCATTTTGAATTTCAGACTGTGAAACCATGAGTACCATCCCTTTTCTGACCCTGGGTCTCGCAGACAGGGATGCCTTTCTACCAGTGTTTTGGCCACATTTTCATAGTGTTGCCTGTCAGGATAAGCAGTAATCTTTGACATACAGTCTGCAAGTGTGTCAAGGATATTAGTCTTCAAAGTTTTAGAAATCACCATCACAGATCCATCCTTAGCATATCTACAATTAGCTTCTTTCAGTTGCAGCTCCACATCATGGGAAAACTTTGGAATCGGGAAGGAGTCAGGCCATTTAACAAAATCTGCACTACTTGGAGAAGAGAGGCTTCCAGTGTCCAGTGTAGAATCCGTGGAGTCATCAGCTGTGAACAATACTTTCAAAGTTGCACGGTCAACAGGAAGGTCTTTGATGTCCGTTAGGTTGCACAACTGATTATTGAAATCAGGATCCTCAAACTGCAAAATGAATCCTCCTCTTAAGGCAAAGTTGGTTCGTAACACCTGGTACAGTTCCTCAACACTTGAGGGGATGTCTTCAATTGAAAGACGCCTGATTTCACTTTCTGAAACTATGACACGCAGCAGCATTGTAGACAACTTAGACCTGAAAAATAGAAAAATTTGCACGTTAAGAATAAGAGCCTCTGGTACAGTGACAAGACACTACATTCATGAGGAGACGAGACAAAATATTGGATTAATGATAACACAAGGTTTTACAATTTAAAGGAATCATCACTGACTAAATGGGGGCTGCACTTTGACGGTAAAAAAAAATGTTTACTTTATCAATTAACTTAACTTGTTACTCAATATAACAATAAGCTTAAAATAAATCTATGAAAAAACAAAACAAAAAAGTATTTTAACATTTAAGATAATCAGTAACAGCATTGTGGGGCAAGGCAAATCTTTGAAATTCAAAGATCTGACTGTAGTAAACAAAAATCTTACAGCACTATCATACTGTTTTATGAGTGTTTTATGCCTAAATTACTACTAAAAGTTATGCATTTGATACATTTGTTATCATTACAGTATATACCCACCTAAGAGAGATATCTTTTTAGATTCCATCATCAACATAGATATCTTTAAACTTTTCATAAGTTGTCTAAAACGGTGTGGAAGTGCCTCTTACTCAACCAATTTGTATTATATTGGCTATGATGACAGATAAGGGCTGACCAGCCATTTTTTAAACCAAGAGCAAGAGAGTAAATGTATATGGGTAAGTATATGACATTTCACTGTTGCCAATCTTCTGCTTAGAATCAGAGACTGATGAAGTGATTCAACACAATCTGCTGTCTTCCTTAGTTTTTTGTAAAGTGCTTTGAGACAAAGTTTGTTGAGACTTGGTGCTATATAAACCAAACTGAAGTGAATTACTGACATCAAAACATCTCAATTGTAACATAAGTCAAAATCTTCAGATTTTTTCATTCCTCATTTGAGTGTTTAATTACTTACAGCAAGTTTATTTTAACAAGAAAGTCTTGGGAGTGACCAGAAGACAGCCCTGAATGAAGTATGACACCAGTGGCACGTAGTCGTTGAGGTCCTCCGGTTTCACCAACAGACACTCAGCAGGGTTTTTTTTCACAAGATGGTAACTCCGTAGATGCTCCACATAGTATGCTGTAAAAGGTTCTATAATGAAGCAAACATTCCTCTCCAACACAATGCATACTTCTAAAATTTGTCCAAAGTTTGGCAATCCACTTGTGCTCCCACTAGAGACAATCATTCCCTTTGAGTACTTGGTCCCATTCAGAAAGACGTGAGGGGTCAGTCCTACTCTGTCAACACTGCTGAACCTATTCAAGATGGCTTGTCTGATGGCAGCATCTAAAACTTCAAGACACATATCAGACACCTTTGCTGTCTCAGTCTCTGGCTTAAAAAGCCTTGGCATTGCAAAGTAATGTGCCAACATAAGTTGATGTCTTGTAGCAAGTGTAAGCAGAATGTTTTTAAAGTTGTTGGCATCTCGCACTGTCTTCTTAAAGAAAGAATGTTTTGCCTCAAACCTGATAGTCCAACACTCAGTTGGAGGTCCAAACTTTGAAATAAGATATGGATAATGTTCAATAAAGTGATGTTTGGGACACAACTTTTTTTCTGGGAAAACTGTCTGCAGCAACTGTCTGTGATCGGATATTTTTGCCTGTAAATAACAAAGTGAGTCTGAAGTGAAATATGAGGTTGACAGTAGCTCCACCAAGTCTTTGAGCTCAAGAACTAATTCCCATGTTTGATCGCCTTCTGGAACAAGGTGACCAATGATGAGCGGAAGGAAGCGCACTAGACTCCAGTTTTCATGTCCGTTACCACCTAGAGTACGATTCCGCTTAAAAGTTGATGGAATCTTCTGAGGCCGGTTTGTTTTGTCAGAGAACTTAAAAGGAAAGCCTTGTATTTTGTCATTGAGCTCATCCAATGTGAAATAGTTCTTCAAAATCAAATCTGCAAGGCACAGACTTAGCTCAATTGGTACAATGCCTTCCAGCACATCATGTAAAAAATCAGGTGGAAAACCTTGGCATGCATGAAAACCAGTCAATCTGTTAAGTGGACATTCCCGTTTCACACCATCAACAGATGCAAGTTCACTCTGGTTCAATACATTTACAGCTTCATCATACAATTCTGATGTTCGTAAAACAAACTTTCCACTTCTGACATCACAAGTCTGTATTTCTTCACGATTACACAAACAAAACCTACAAAATTTTTCCACATTAAAAGACTCTTGGAATCCTCCAAGTGAGTGTGCTGCCAAGTTGTCTGCAGAAACATACAAAATGGTCCCTTTCACATTACAATTAAGCTTTTCTACAAACACACCAACTGTTTGTAGACATTGAATATCTTTTATCAGTGGCTCTAAAACATTATTATATCCATAAGTCTTAATATGTTCAGTCTTGCACAATAAAGCTAGGTAGATTGATGGCAGTGACGACTTATATCTTCTTGGCAAATTGGCAAGAATCCAATAAACACCACATACTTTGTGTTTTTTTCTGGAGGTGCCAATGGGATTACAAACTTCAAAATCGTCAATGTACAAAGTTATGCACAAACTAACATGTTCATGTGAGAGAATTTGATTTGTTTTAAAGTAGTCACCATCCAGACATGACTTGTACGTCCCAGATTTTTCAGATGATCCGTTTACCCTCAATTCATGCAGTACCTCATCTCGCTTTAGAATTTCAGAAAGTAATTTGAGAATGGGGATATAAACAACAGTATGTGATTTTTTTTGTCTATTCAAAACATATTCAACAGGCTCAATGACAGTAAAGTTCTGTCTATAAAATGACTGTCTTTTAAATTCTGTGCCTAAAGGCCCCTCTCTAGAAAATAAAGTGAGTGGGTTTGCACTCTGTAATGCTTCAGTCAAAGATGATGTTAATTCCTCTGATGAGCAATTATGCTCTTTCAAAATATTTTCAATTTTGTGCTGAGTTAATTGTACAGCACATTGACCAACATCAAATAATTCATCAACAATTTCTTGAATTGCTGATTGTGACACATGAAGGACCGCTTGTAGACGAAGTAAAAGGGACGCTATCCTTCGCTGAATGACATTTTGTTCAGGTTGAACTTCAGATTCAGGCAACAATGAATCTGATGACTCTAAGTCATCAAAGTCTTCTTCATAATCATTTACAAAGGCTTCACTGTGACATTTTACAACAAGATCAGGTTTGAAATCAACCAATGTAGCAGCATGATGATATCGACTCTTATGGGCAGTGAAAGTTGAGTTTACCCTTGACTTAAAAGAACAACCCGCAAATGGACAACTGACAGTATCTAGACTTGTCAAATGTCTCTTTAAATGAAGAAAATACTGTTTAATTTTGGTTGGTTCTGAAAAAGTACAGAGTTCACAGCGTAGTTTAGCAACTGGATTTGATGTTTTATGTTCCTTGATATGTTTTGCAAAATCCACGTGGGATTTGAGAACAGCCAGACAGTTTGGGTAAATGCAGCTCAGTCCCCGTCTTCCACGTCCATGAGTGTCTTTGTAATGACTCACTATTGTTCTTTCATTGTAGGTAACAAAATTGCAAAACTTACAGCTCCACTTCATCCAGTTTCTGCCAAACTTTAAATAATGGACCACCTGCACAAAAAAACAACAACATACATTTCAGAATATGGTATTTAAAAAAAAAAAAGTATTAATACATACGAATGCCAGTTTTGCCACTTACGGTAGTTAAAATAATTTGTCTAAATTGTTATCTTCTCCAGCTTCATTTTCCAAACAAGAGGTTCAAAAGTGTAAAGAAATTTACACGTACAATAACAGTAACATAGACTGTCCCCAATTTATTTTAAATGATATACATTGATATTGGGTCAAATGAACAAGAACAGAATTCATTATGCTAGTTTAATTCATTTTAAGGTGACCTAAGCACACTCTTTAGTAACAACTAAAGAAAATTAGTAGTCATCTTTAAAATGTAATTAAATTTAAAAAAGATTTTTCAGGACCTACAGTGGAGTCCTAACTATTTGGAAGCCACCGCAGCTCCCTGATATGCAATCGGTCTCCACCAGGTGACGTCATTGTTTACCTCGGGCGCGGTGCATCGTGGGAAACCACCATATTAGGTGGAAAGTCGAGTTAACCCACAGGCGGCTGTTCTTTCGGCACAGTTATTTACCAGAAATGACACGATCGTGTTGTGTGAGAGGCTGCCAGTCCCGGTGTCGTGCCAAGGTAGTTATCCCTGAGAAAATTTGTATCCCCTCGTCGGGAGCGCGCACGGAGTAGGAAGATCAACCCGAGTTAACTCCGCCTCAATTCCAACGTGCAGAACTTGAAATTTGAAAGGTTTTACGTGTATGAAAGTTGAGCTTTACTGTTTTATTCTTTACTTCACATGTTATAGCAGAATATCGCCAGAGATATTGATCTAAAACTAATAATAAAACAGACGTTTGCTTGAAAGCTGGTCGCTGACAGCAGTGTCTACTACTCCCTCTGAAAGCAAACAGATCCTTGTTCTTTTCCACACGTTCATTAAAAAAATCTTTCATTGTTTCACAGTATCCAAATGTTCTCATCCCATTGAAAACTGTTATAAGCCATATACTTGTAATAAAAATGAAATAGAAAATGGAGTGCACGTGTTATCATTAAAGACTATATGCAGAAGGAAATAATTTTTTCCTGGTTGAAATTTAGTACTTAAATCTATATTTGTGTTTATAGGGAGGAACCATATATTTCAGCTGCCTGAAATAATCTGTTCCCCCTCCATAACAGGGGAAGAAATTAATTTACCTGCAAGTCTTTAACTGTGCTTATTCCCCTCACCACCAAGAACAAATCCTGCGGATTATTTCAGGCAGCTGAAATAATCTGTTCCCCCCCTTTAATTTTTGCAAATAACCAGTAAATATGACCAAATCCACAGGATTTGTTCTTGGTGGTGAGGGGAATAAG